CATATCACTGAAAGCAGTAAAGATAAGCTGCAAGGGACCTTTGTCAAGGAGTCCCCTATATGATGAATAGTTGCAATCATCAGACTTTTGAGAATGTGGATTTACATATGCAATATTACAGAGCTTCTTTATACTGGGAGAAAAAAATACACTAATTCCACAATAATATGTAACCTACTACAACAATAGCTTCAAAATATTACCAGAAACAAGTGGATAAGGTTTAAAAATAAATTTCAACACGTTAATAAGTATCTTTGGGAAATAAAGGTAAGTTGTGACTAGCATTTGAAAAAATATGTATATTCATTTGCTGTGAGTAATGACTGTCTCTCTCTCTCCTGACCCAGAAAGAATGTTGTGAGAAGAACTGATACAATTCACAATATATTACAGCAAAGTTAATTTCAGGAATTTGTGGTAATTCTGAAAGGAACTATACTGAATTTACTTGGTTGAGCAAATGTTTCTGTACAGATAGTGCAAATCGCAACACTATAAACAAGAATGGTGTGAATGTTTAAAGTATTTACAAAAACAGATTTTTAAAAAGCACCCAATATCAGACTCTATTGTGCTTGTTGCTTATTGATTGCCAAAAATTATTTGAACAAAATGTCACTTTATAAACTCTGTCTCCCATCTATACATCATAATCTCACAGGATTGCTTAGAAGTTAGAATAGGAATAGCTGTTAAATGATCCTTTAATAATAAATTTTAAGGAAAACATCTGAGTTTTAAGTACTGAGAGTCATTTCTAGATATTTTAAGGAATTTTATTAGACTGCAATTTGAATGAAGAAACAGCCTAATATAACTTAATGCATGTGGAGAATATAAAAGTAATAAAACTATTAAAAATATTTTTTTATGTGTAAAGTCACTTTTCATTAACTAAGACTGACTTCTCTATTTAGTTAAAATTAATGAGATTTTAGTGAATGTTCTTGTATTGCTAAACAGTTTAGACCAAAGAATGGACATGAATGGCATACTGGCTAAAATTCTCTATTACTTTGGAAAAGATTTTGTAGTCCCAAATTATGTGCTAATACAACAGTTTTAGAAAATAGCAAAAATTAGATTCAGTTCTTTTTCATACTAGTTCACTAGGTAATTTCTGGGGGAAGAAAAGTTTGTTTTTGAGTTCAGTAAAAAAAAAAATGGGTTTGGCAAACTAATACTGTCCATTCTCATGTTTGGTTCATGATTCTGTTCAAGAACTCATTGTAAATACATCACCATCTGCAATGAATTCAGGCCAATTTGTTGCTTGTCTGTGAAATGCACCCACCACAAACCTCCAGACATCTGTATATATCCAAAAGAGAAACATCTAAATATTGTACATATTGGCAGTCTGAACTAGCAACTACCTACACATATCAGATTTGGAACTCTCCATTAACCCCTCCCTAGCTAACATTTTCAATCTTTCCCTCCCTGATTCCTTCCCTTTGACCTTTACATGTACAACAAGGTCTCTTTTATCATAATAACACTTCCCCTTGATACAACTCCCTATTCCCATCAAGTCACTGTCTTTCCTTCTTCCCTTCCTTCTTTCCTCTAACACTAGCCATCTATCACTTATGAGCAATTTATATCTGCTGCCTCTATTTCCTCAACATGCACCTTTTTAACCCCTTCATTACTCTTTTGAAACTATGCTACTCAGTCCCATATAACCTACTTGTCAAATTCAATGGCTTTTTTCTCAGCTGTCAAGATTTACTACTTTGAAATTCCCTTACCACAGCCTCCATTCTTTCTATCTGTCTAATCCCATGCCCTTCTCTTGATCTTAGGTGTCCTGACATCACGATCTCCCAGTCTGCTTTTGTGCCAGCACACTCAGCCTTAACTCCATGGTTTGCCACTGTAATGTTTTACTAGCAACTACTCTAGAATACCTTACATTCCTCACTTTGTCATTCTCTACCTTTAAAACTTTATTTTTGGGTAATCTCAGATGGTGGAATCTAATTTCTCTGCTTCTGCTTCATGTCTGCTGAGTGGAATTGGGAAGTAAGGAAATCAGATCAATTTCACCTGCTATTGTTGTTTCATTTTTGAAGAGGGTACTGACATCACTAGGTGATGTCTTGACTTGTGAGTCAACTGGATTTAAGTGAGGAAGCCTTGCACAAAGTCATCAGCCTTGCTCGTTCTTCCAGAGTCATCAAAGTCCAGTGGCAGGACAAAAGTCAGGATGATTGGTGATGACCCAGAATGCAGTAGATGATGTTGGTGTTTTTGATGCCTAAGTTCTAAGCACTCCACAGCACCTGCTTCAACTGCCTTCATGACCTTTGGAACAAACTGTTCTCATCTGCCCATTCTGCTGGGGGAAGTCTTCACATGCTTGGGGTAAACACCTGCTAACTCACTGACGGGTCTGTGGCCTGTCTGCTGAGATAGTTTATCGGGATGTGGGTTCTACAGTTTCTTGGAGCCACAGGTGTGAGTTCTAAGCGTGAGGTGCATACCAAAGATGCACAGTCCTGAAACACCAGAGATGCTAGTCCTCCTTGAACACCTCATCCACCCCAGGTTGACTAATTAAAATTGCAAAGAAGCATATTTTGGCTCAGCATAAGGAAAATTTTTAAACAATTAGAACTATACAAAAGTGAAACAGGCTGCCTACGGAGGGAGTGTGTTCCCCTTCAGTGGAGTTCTTCAAAGCAAAGGCTCATCAGCTACGTTAGAGAGAGTATTCTTTTTCAGGTATGAGTTGGACGAGATGGTGGGTACTGAGGTCTCTTCCGACTCTGAAATTCTGTGTCCCATCTAAAACTTTGTGTCTTCCTTAGGACCTAGCAGTGTTCTGCACATACCCACTTGTTGTTTGCTCAACAAACATTTATTTGAGTGAGTGATTCAATTCAATAAGCATGTATAAAATGCCTACTACAATCAAAGCACTTAGGTAGACACTGGTGATGCGGAGTAGCTGGGAGGAGAAGGGAATCAGCAAAGACTTCGGAAGGCACACAAGCTGAATCTTGAAAGCAATTATGTGATCTCAAGGCTTAGAGGTGAGAAAGTAGGGCATTTCAAACATGGGGTGGGGCAGCCTGTGCAATGCTACAGAAGAGAAAAAGGGAGTATCACGTATAAGGAACAGCACATAGACCAGTGTGGCTGGGACATGAGGTACATGAGGAAGAGTAAAATGAAATATCTGGAAACGTAGGTTCTTCACTTATCTCCTTGATATCTGCTTATGATCATAAGGTCATAAAATCATTTATTTAAAGCTAGAAGGATTTTTGAGGTAATATATTACAGATCAGGTAATTGAAGCCTATAGAGGTTAAATAACTTGACCAAGGTCACACAGTGACAGAGTCAAGATATGAACCCATTCCCTATGGCTCCAAACCCAGCACTCTTTCCACTGTACCATTTTGCCCTAGAATGCTCTTTTCTTCTCCAACTATCTAAAAGACTACAAGAGGAGAAGTCCACATTGATCTCCCTTTCTGAACTCCTATAGCATATATTGACTATCACTCTTTTCTAGGACATAATCAGCCTTATGCTGATACTAAGCTGTTTCAAGAGCATAATATATCTGTTCCTCGGGAGGTTCATAGGATCATAGATTGAGTCCAAACCCTTATTTTATAGTTGAAAAAACTGAGGCCCAGAGACTTATGCTACATAAATGTACCTTTTGTAGTTTACGAAGGACTTTCCTATACATTATCTCATCTGATTCTCATAACAAAACAGCTGGTAGGCAGAGTAGATATTATCCTATTTTGCATAGTAGAAGACTGAGATTTAGGCAGATTTGGCTAAATTCACATTTACTAACAGCAGAGATGAGATCAGAACCCAAGTATTCTGAATCCTTATTTGATGTTCTTTGCCCTAAGGCAGCAGAGTCGGAGTCATAATTATCTTTGGATATCCTTTGAGATTTAAGAAAGTGCTGTACTGGTCCAAAATAAGATTCCTTAAAATAGGGAACACTCTTAATGAAATCTCTTTAAACAGAAAAATATGGGCATAAAAAAAAAATCACAAAATGGCTACATAAGGGAAACATTTTTCATTTCCAATATAATGCTTTAAAATTTTATTTTTTAGCACTCATCTTTAATAACTCCTATTTCTACAGAGCTTTAAGGTTTACAAAGCACTTTCCTCACAATAACCCTGTGAGGTAGGCAATGCAAATATTACTATGGTTATTTTCTATCATAAGGAGAAAGAAGTATTTATATAGTGCCTACTATGTGCTAAGCACATATGTCTCAATCTGGAATCTAGAGGTGTTGTGATCAAACATGCTATCCACCTCCTGATAGAGTGGTAATGGGCTCAGAATGCTGATTGAGACATATTTTTTTTGGACATGGCCAACGAAGGGATTCAGTTTGCTTGACTATACATGTTTGTAGGAAGAATTTTGTTTTGTTTTTTTTCTCAAATGGGGTAGGTACCCCAATTGCCTCACCAAAAACAAAACAAAACAAACAAACAAAAGGGGTAGGGAGGAGAGGTGGATTTTCGTTGACTGAAAAAAGAAATTAAGGAAAAACTCTGTTGGGAAATCTGGTTCAGTTCTTGAATAAAATGTATGACTGGGGGGGGGGAACCCCTGAACGAGTGAGTTGTCAGAACACCTGGTTAGCAGGCATCACTACACACTTGCTGAATGGAAACGGGGATTTTGAAAGACAAGAGAAAAAGGAGCTTGATCAGGTGACCGGGGGCTCTCCAGCCGGGCCGGGCCGGGCGCCACCCGCTCAGCTCCAGGGCGGGCCTGCGCCTGCCGGGCACGGCCAGGGTAAAGGGCAGGGTAAAGGCCAAAGACACCGACGTCGGCCCGCCCAGGGTCGACCATCCTTCCTTCCAGGGGCCCGAGGAGTCTGTTGTTACGCTCACATCTCAGGCAGCCCTTCCTTCCCCATCTACAGAGTCGGAGCTATCGGGGCTCCAGGCCAGGGGCTCCAGAGAAGCCCCCACGCCCTGTGGCTCACCCGATTCGGGTATTCCTTCTCCACACAGTCCCCACACATCGCGGTGCCGGCGGCGCCCCTCGGTCACGGCGGCCAGCTACTTCCGGGATGACGTAACCTCGCGAGAACTGGGCGAGGCTTGACGTAGGTGCCCCCAAGTGACTGTTGCCCGGGGACCCGGAAACAGGGAGAGAGACGAAAATTCCGCCCCCTAGCGAAGGTCTCCAGGTTAGAACCTGAGAATAGGCCCACGGGATGCTGAGGGTTCTGGGAAATGAGGAGGGAAGCGGTGACGTAGACAGGGGCTTCCTGGAGACAGACAGTCAGTTGGATGGATGGATGGGTGGATGGATGGGTGGATGGATGGATGGATGGATGGATGGGAGATAGACATATAGATGGATGAATGGATAGAAAAATGGATGGCCAAATAGATGATAGATGAATAATGGATAAATAGATGATAGATGGATAAATGATAGATATATAGATAGGAGACAAACGGATGGATGATAGATGACAGATGGTTGGATAGATAAATTAGATAAATAGAGCAAGCATCTATTGAGCATTTACTATGTGTCAGGCACTGTGTTAAACACCAAGGATAGGAATATAAGCAAACGAATTAGTCCCTTCTCTCAGAGAGCTCCTACACTCCAGGAGCTTATATTCTAATGGAGGGCAATGACATATAAAAGGGGGAAGGCTGCTGGTGAGATGGTAAAGTTCGAAGTTCAGGGAGGGAGTAGAGCTGGGAATAAAAGAAGTATGGCCTGGGCCCCTCATGAAATGGTGTTCCATGGTGGGACTCTCCAATCGGGAGAGCAGGATCTTAGATTAAGGTATCTTTATGCACCGCAGAGAATGGCTGACTATACTGCACCTCAGCTTCTTGACCAAGCTTGACAAATCACCTTATCATACAAGGGAAGGGCAAGTAATTCCTTCTCTGTGTCTTAGTTCCTGCTATATACAAAGGGGAGTGATGATTAAAATCCCACAAGCGTCATCGTCATGATATCATAGATATGGAGCTGGAAAGGACCTCAGAGACCATCTAGTCTGATCCCCTTATTTTATACGTGAGGAAACTGAGGTCTAGGAAGGTTGAGTTGCCCAGATCACAGAAATAATAAATATCAAGCAGGATTTGAATCCCTTGCATCTAAGAAGCATCTCATAGGACAGTGATAAGGCTAATGAGACGTCAGATTTTTGTTGGCAAATAAATAAAAAGTACTTTGTATGTTTTAAAGAATGCCTTATATCATAAGGTATATATCTATATATGTATATATACACACATATATATTTATATCTATATATATATCTTATACCTCTGGGAACTACAAGCTTCCTTCAAGGCTCAGCTCAGGTGCCACATCTTCCCAGACAAGATCTTTCCTGGTCATGGTGGGGTTGTTAGTGCTCTTTCCCCATCAAATTACTTTCTGTATATTCTGTATTTATGCATCTGTAAACATGGTATATCACCAATAGTATAGAAGCTTCTGGAGGGCAGAAACTTTATTGTTTATTGTTTTGGTGAAGACAAAGTAGCTTGCACATGGATGTTTTTATTTTTATTTATTTATTTTGGTGAGGCAGTTGGTGTTAAGTAACTTGCTCAGAGTCACACAGCTAGTGAGTGTTATGTGTCTGAGGTCGGATTTGAACTCAGGTCCTACAGCCCAGAAGGGCTGGAGTGCCATCCACTGTGCCACCTAGCTGCCCCCACACAGGTGTTTTTAAATAAGTTGTGGCATTATTAGTGAAAAGTTGGGAATTGGTCCCTGACCACCTGTTTTGCCCCAGCCCAGGATGTAATCACAAATAACAAGGTGATAAACTTAGTGTAAAGACAGGTGTAATTTCAGAAAATAATGTAGTTGGTAGGCCATTGACTATGATGTTTTGTATGGAATGACTTACCCAGTGAGAAACATTGCATCTGCCAGGAAGCAGAGGCATCCCACTTTCTGGACAGACATGGCCACAGGGAAGGACTGGAGTTTAGCAACTTAATGCAGGAGATACCAGAAAGAGAGCTCAATATGGACCCAATAAAGAGCTAGCTCTGGCAATCATTACAAGAGTCAAGCTGTGGCCAGGAGTGGACCCTGGGAGCCCAGCTGAGTGACCCGCCCAGAAGAAATCTTGTGCTTCTAGGGAAGCAGCATCAGGATTCCATGAGGAGAGAAAGAACAGCAAGGCCCTACAGTACTGGGGTTTTGAATTGCCTTGGTCATATATGTTCCCTGTATATGTGCCTCATTATTCTTGTATTCTGTTTGTGTCTGCTCTTCCAATGGGTGCTGTGTATGTTTGTGGGAGAGTGTGTTCCAGATTTATGAGGAGAATGTTGTGTAGCTACTGTTCTACTGTGACATCTTAGAAAATGTTTTTGCTTTGAACTTATTGTGCCTACCAGCTGATCCGTTAGTGGGAAGCAAGTTTGGAGGGAGGAGTATAGGTCCACGGGGTACTCAAGACCTGACAATAGTACCTAGCCCCTGGGTACCCTGATCTTTAATCATAGATTAAAGTTTAACCTATTCCTTTGATAGATGAGGAAATAAATTCAGCTAGGGGAAGCAACTGTCCAAGGTTCCACAAATAAGTTGCTCTTCCTCTTCCTTATTCTGTGCCTGTTTTACTATACCAGCTTAATAAATAAACATCCTCTAACTGTAATTTAAACCCACGGGGAAATGTTCTACCAATTTCATCATGGATTCCACGCATCCAAAGAACATCAGTACCACAGTAACAGATGCTGTAAATAATTATGACGTAGAGATAGCTTACATGTAGCATGACATCCTTTGGTGTTTCTCAAAGTATGATGGGTTAGGAAGAATATTGGAATTGGAACTAAGATCTGGGTTTGAACCTTAGTTCTACTGTTTAACATTTCTGAGCCTTAATTTCCCTATTTGTAAATGAGGGGAGTATACTAGATGGTTTCTAAAGATCTTTGTAGTTCTAACTTCTATGATTTGCCTTTCCTCTTGTCTTTATTTCTGACAACCTCTCTTCATTACACCTAGGTGATTAAAACAGATATTGAAGGAGGAGGTGGGTGCCTCCTCTAGGACTACTTTACAGTAATAATGTGAATAAGGAGGGATTGAAGAGCGAATGAGACTCAAGTGGAAATTAAAAGCCATAATAACCAATCCTGACACACAGCTGTTTAATTGGGTTTGCTAAAAATAGAGTACTGTGTGCCAACAGGAGCATTAAAACTAACGTTTTGTATTCAGCCTCTCATGTAGAGCTGCAGCTGTTATAAAAATCACATGTACAATGCTATACATGCCAGTGATGCCATAGCTTACATTATTTTTTTGGTTAGAAGTATGGGTTCATCATAGCAAATGTGTATATGGCACATTTAACTTTTTAAAGTGCTTTCACTTCTGGTATCTTATTTAATCCTCCAAAAAACCCTGGAAGTTAGGTGAAGCAAGTATTATTATGTCTATTTTTTGAGGGGAAAACAAAACTGAAGCACATGTAAACCTCAGCTAAGGTCAAGCAAACACAGTTCACTAGTGGTAGGGCCAGGACTAGAACCCAATCTTTTTCCTCTCAGCTCTTTCTGCTAGAATTCATGCTTTTCTGCTTAATGG